TCCCTCCCTCTCTCTCTCTCTCTCTCTCTCTCTCTCTCTCTCTCTCTGCCTCTACTACCCTCCTCGCTCCCTTCCCCATGCCCTGAATAAACTCTATTCTATGCTATACCGGTGTGTGACTGGTCCCTCAGGGGGAAGAGAAACCTCGGACCTCGGCATGGGCCCACTGAGTCATCCCCTTCCCCCATACCTCTCCACATACCCACAGAACATACTCTTTTTATCTCTTTATCTTTTTATAAACACATCACCTGGGTCTGGGTCTGAGAGGTATCTGAGCTGGTCAGCCTCCTGGCTCTCCTGCTGCTACACTCTGGAGCTGAATCACCAGCAAACCCACCCCCACCCACCATTCCCAGCCAGCCAGCTCTACCCTGCTGCTTAGGTGCAGGGCCTGTTCTTCAAAATGCTACAGCAGATGAGAGGCAGGGACAGCTGTCTTGCTCTTACCCTAGGGTCAGGTCTCCCACCTGCCACAGATGTTGAGGGGCATGGGGGGAGGAGGGTGCCTCTACCTTGTTCATGCCACCCCACGGGAGATGAAAGGCAGTGTCAGCTTTCCCACACTCACCCTCAGGCTGGCTCTCCTGGCACTCTGGGAATGTGCAGGCTGCTCTCCTGAGTACCGCTGCTGGTTAGGGGCAGGGGCAGCTCTTCTGCTCTCATGTTCCTAGAGCCCGCTCTCCCACAATGCCTGGGCAAAGAGTAGGGCCAATTCTGCACATCACTCAGACATCAACATGGGCCTGGGCAGTAGCCCATCCAAGGACATTCACTTGGCCTTTGGTGGTAGGTAACAGACTCTTGCTGCTCCAGGGCTACAGACCCAGATGCTATTCCCACTGTTATCTCAGGCCAGGATTCCACCATGGTCCCTGGTGGCATCACTGGCTCCTCTCATCAGGCTGCTCCTCACTACCCTCGAGTCTCCAGTCCTGCCTCTCTTCACTGTACCCACATCCTTCAGTTTCTCTGTCTCTTCCATCTCTCCACCACTTAACTGTTCCTCTTAGTGGCACAGGGGTCTTTGAGTGTCTGGGATAGGCTCAGAAGTGGTCTGAGGAGTGCTATACCCTGCCTGTGCATTCCGGTACCAGGAAGGGATTATCTCAGGCAAGGGATGTTTCCCCAGACCTAAGTGGAGCCAGATTGGTGCTCATCCCAGGCTAGCTCTCTGTCTAGGCCTCATGGCACTGGTGGTCTGGTGGTCATCTTGGACTAACTCTTCACCCTGACCTGCAGGACTGGCCCCATGTGAGGGTTTTCTGTCTCAAGTTCACTCATGCCAAGGTCCCCACATCCCAGGGATCTTCATCTTGCTTCCCTTCCTGTGCTGGTAGTCAGGCTCGTGTATTGTTCTGGGAGTGTTAGGCTACTAATCATTCAGGTGTTCATGGGTCAGAACACTGAGCATAGGTGTAGCCTATCTTTGCCACCTGCTGACACACATGCCACACATTCGACAGAATAGCTGCACAAGCAATGCCTCTAGGGACAGGATTTTGTTTCTTGTTTCTTGGTTGTTGTTTTTTTAACAAACAGATAAACAAAAAACAAATACAAAAAAACCCAAAACAACAACAACCAAAACCAAAACAAATAAACAAACAAAATCCAAATCCAGTGTATTGCTCTGTTGCCCTGACTGACCTGGACCTCACAGAGATCTGCCTGCCTCTGTCTCCTTAGTGCTGGGATTCCAGGTGAGTGCCATTGCATTCAGCTAATATTTTGTATTTGATAACACAACAGCATTTGGGTTGACAGGAAGTCTTCATAGGCCTTTGTGTCTTGTGGTTTCAGCCATGTCATGTGAACAGAGCTCATAATTTCTCTGTATGAAACCCTGGTTTTATGTTCAGCAGCAAACCAAGAGACACACCATATTGTCTTCTGTTAAAGCTTCTCATTTTGGGGAGCAGGGGATGAATATGGGCAAAATATTCCATATATGAAATTGTTACAATGAATTCTATGTATAAATAATACATAGACATACTACGTAATAAAAAAAAAGGCAGCCCTCTCAAATGAAGTAGTTTCCAAAACAATGGGATTTGTGGCCTTTTCTTAATGACCCATTGACCTTTTCTCTCTACTACTCTCCTTTGTCCCTCTCTAATTAGAACTCTTTAAAAGGAAAATAGTGAATCTGACGGTTAAGGAATAGAGGTTGCAAAGACAAACCATACTGACCTTTGCTAGGCTTGCTTTGGTAGGTATAGAGCTAAGTCTAGACCCGTGGTTCTTAGCCTCCCTAATGCTGACAGCCTTTAATACAGTTCCTCATGTTGTGGTGACACCCAACCATAAAATTATTTTCATTGATACTTCATAACTGTAATTTTGCTCCTGCTATGAATCATATTGTGATGTGAATATCTGACGTGCAGGGTATCTAATATGCCACTCCCAAAGGGTTCCCGCTGGCCTAGTGGGAATGTGCATACCCCTCATCTGTGATTGCCTACTGTCCACCTTGATCTAAAGCAGTAAAAGTACTCCAGAAATAATAAAAAATATGCCAGAAATTAATTTTATAACATTTAATTTGTTTATTTTTTTATTTTTAAACAAGGTATCATGTAGCACAGGTAAGCCTTGAACTCACTAGAAAGGCAAGGATGGCCTTGAACCCCAATCCTCCCACTCCAGAGTGTAAGAATTCCAGATGAGCACCACCATGCCAGTGGTAATACTTACTATATTTTTTAATTGCTTTAAAAAAGCAACTTTTGAGTGGACAGATTCTCCCTTGATGAGGTCCTATCTAACAACCACACGACTAAATCAAAATCATCACTCTCTTTTGTCATCTCCAGAGCAACAAACTAAAAACCCTGTGTGCAATTAGAGAATAAACAGCAGAAAAGCGCAAAAATCAACCATGGACGCCACAGATCCGGAATGAAAGCTCAGCAGGGAGATGGACCAACTCTGGGGTGGAACAGTGAACACTCAGCAAGCTGCAGCCCCGCAAATTCCCAGAGTCCCCAAAGCCTCAGCCAATCTGAACGGAGGGCTGGGGGATGGGCAGAGCTGGCTGCAGGGATCAAAGAGAAACAGGAGGGAAACAAACCCGGGACTGTCTGCTCTCTGAGCAAAGATAATAGCATCCTCGCTGTGGTGAGAACGAACACACAGAGCAAGGTTTAAAAACACAATGAGCTCAGAGCTGGTCGGATTCCTTTATCCTATGCCTCAAACTCATCAGGCTTGTCCTCAATTCAGAATCACTCCATATTGAATTACAGGGTGAGAGAAATAAAAAGGGCAAACCACAGAGTGTTTTTCAGAGCGCAGGGGTTGCCACATCTTCGTATGAAAGAGTCAATTTAGTGGGCTGAGTCGCATTTAAAACATGGGGTGGGGGGAGGAAAGAAGTGAGAAAGGCAGGCAGGCAGGCAGGTGACAGGCTTATCGTGGGGATAAGCATTACTCATGAAATCTTGCTTTGTGTCGGTGTTTGGTATCTTATTGTGAGCATCGGGGAAAACTGATGTACTCTCTCCAGGTTTTCCATCCTAGGAGACAAGGTTTTCAGAAACAGGACTTCATCTATCTGCTCCACTGTTACCGCCCGAGGAAGACGTTCCTCCTTCCTACTTTGCTACGTGTTATAATAATGCAGGTGTGGTGGGGCTTTATCTCAACGAAAGAGTTCTTCAAAAAAGGATTCCAGAGTCACATCACTCTCTCTCGGAAGCTGTCAAAAACAATGAGTGGCCTCCCTCCAGGATCTGTAATTAACCAGAGGGGGAGGGGAGAGGGAGAAGAAGAGGAAGAGGGAGAGGCGAAAGAGGGGAT